TATCGAAATAACAAATAATTTAGTTTAGTAATCAATAAATAATACAAATTAGGACAAACGTCCCATCCCAATACAATTTTAATTACTAATTTTCATTAGGTTGTTTTTTTTATACTTACTAAAATTATTATTATTGTTGGTTTTTCCTTTTTATCTGGTAAAATTACTTGGCACTGCCTGGTATCCGGTACCAGACCGGAAGATGAAATAGTGCCGGATGCATTGGGTATTGGATCCAAAGCGGGTATCCGGTCCATATCTATAGTTACAAATGTAGATAAACTTTTTTATTTTCGAAAATCATAACTGATATTAGAATAGGCACTTGGTTGTAAATATTCTGCTTTTTAAAAATAATTTACATTAGGTCACGGAGAGTTTAATTGTAGAGTTTCGAAAATCAGCAGCAAAAATCCAATAAAACATATGGAAATTCTTGTATTAATAATTCTTAATTTTGAAAATTTCCATTTAATCTATCATATATTGACTAAAGGAAATGAGTGATAAATGTCGTTTATAGTTCTTTTTGAGTTTGGAAAAATGCATTATTTTTAAGCTGAACGATTACATCTTATATACTGCTTCCAAATAGATTTCAGTGATTTATCTAATAATAATATACCTATCTATCTCGTTTTCTATACACTAGTGAAGAATTGTAAACCGAACATAGGGATATTTTAGTATAAGAAATTATTAAAGGGCGGCATCATTTATTAAAAAGTACGATGTGGTATAAGGAAATTTGTACAAACACCTTCAGTCATAGAAAATACGACAAATGGCGCTGTAAACGCCATCTGTAGTACAGTGCTACATTTTAGGATTACGTATGCTTCAACAAGGTCCATTTAAATGTATGGATATCTACTTGCTGAAACAAATCCCGGCGTAGCTCACCTCAACGTGGTAGGCACGTTACCATAATCGAATAAAATAATTCGAAGTGGTCTGTATTCTGTCGAAACTGCCAGACGCGGATCNATTATTGGTAAAATGGCATGACCTATGTATATAAAAAAGATTTGAGTGATAATCCAGAATTAAAAAAGTAATCTCAATAGGAATACAATATCCTGTTGGTCGTTAAAAAGCCGTAAACGTATTTAAACAGAATTTGTGCGCGATATGGGAATAATTGTTATCGTTAAAGTTTATTCTCCGTGATATGATCTCATGAAACAATATTGAATCTTTCAATTCGTTTCGTATCATAAATCAAATAATGGAGACCATATTACAGAACCCTCAATCGAGTTTTATATTGAATAGGTAATAACATTAAAGTTTTAATATTTTAAAATTCACGTGTTATTCGAAGGATATAATACATGTTACTAACTCTGCCAACAGTAAAATCTACTTGAACATAAGATCTCAACATCATTTTGTCGTCAAGCAAAGTTACTATATTACACTTATTCATATCGAATGTTAATCCGTTTTAATTACATCAATTTTCAATTAGTATTCAGATCATCTTCATGTTTACAGATATTGGTTTTGGATCGTTTGCATATATTTTTGATTATTATTGTTGTTTCAAAAGCCGAATTACAATCTGTGTAAACAACATTAATTTGCCTAAGTTCTGGCCTTGTCCTTTAGTTTATCTTTAGAAAAAGTGATTTCTTTCAAAACCTAAAACGCATCTGTATTACAGCGGTTAACGTTATGTTCTTAGTATTAAAAACTGACCTAAAAATATAAGTACCATTATTAGTAGTTATGTCATCTAAATACATGGAATTCTGTAATTTAAACAAGCGATTTCTGCTATTAAGAAATTTCCAAAAATATATAGAATTTTCTTGAATCTCATTCTAAGACCGATCCAGGTATAAAACTATTCATCATTATCATAAGGTCGCCAGTCCTAGGACTGGTTGGATATGCACCTGCACTCTTATCCTGAGCTAATCTTCGCATTTCCTCTATACTAGAACAACCTGAATCCTTAACTATTTGCGAACAGTAATTTAATCCAGGTGTACCTCTACTCCTCTTAACTCCTGTTTCTGCCTTTAAGATGTTTCTGAGTAGCCCTTCATGCTTGAGAAGGTGTCCTACTAATGTCCTATTGCTATATCGCCTATTTCTTCTTGACTTCCATACTCCTCTGTTCTCCTATTCTTTCTAACACCTCTTCGAATTTCTAAATTTCTTTTTATTGAAGACGATTCCATTTACGACCCTGCGCTATCTTCTGCTTTATATACATACTACTTCTTCCGTCCTGACTTATCTGACTTCCTAGATACCTGAAATCAGCCACTTCTTCTAATCTTTCATCTTCTATCTTTGCATTCGCTCTTTCCCTTGTTTTTCTTCCCTTGTATACCAGTATTTTTGTTTTACTTTTATTTATCTTTATACAATACTGTTTTGTCAACCCCGCTTCTATTTTATTTAAAGCTCCTCCTTGCTAGATGCTAATACTGCTATATCACTTGCAAATGTAAGCATACTAATTTTTTGCCCCTATATATCTTATCTATGCCTATAGTTGTACTGTCTTTAATGATTATCGATGTATAGATTAAAAAGTAGCGGGGTGACAGTCTGCATTCCTGTCTGACTCCCTTCGTAATATTTACACCTCTATAAAACTATTGCAAGATATAAAATATCATACATTTTTGTTTATAACAAACCAACCATATTGTCAATATTGAGACTGTTATCGTCAATAAATGACCAGTGTAACTTATAAAGATAAGCAGATGAAATATGATAATTACATTTAGAAAAATGAAAATTGATAAAATCAAATGCAAGTTTCTTTGAATATGATAAATTAATGTTAAACGCCTATTACATGAGTCATCATCTTCATTTTCACCACCAAGTGATGAAGTGGTTGGGGGGAGGGGAATTATGGGTGAATTAACCAATTTTATACCTAATGAATTTTTTCCAATATTGATACGAACATCACAAATCATAAATTTATAATTAATATTGCTAACAGTTCTTAGTTCAGAAATTAATTTTCGTTTACTAATATTAGAGTTCTGTTATCAAAGCCTCTATCCTATCTAAGTTTATGATCAGTTATCAGCCCCTAAGTCAACAAGCAAAGTATTGACTAGATATATAATAAAGGAATAACTTCTTGTGTCTAAATTCATACGGTTTTATAAATATTTATATGCTGTTAAAACACAAGCTACTCTTAAAAAAAAGTCTTCAAAATAATTGTGGTGAGACTTTACCCCATGAAAAGGAGGTTGTCCGGAGTGATTTAGGCCACTTTTTTTCATATGAGCAAAGTCGCGGAAGAAAATTAATATTTTACAGGGGTAGTTTTCCCTTATCATCAGATTGTATTAATACACAGGTATTGACAGGAATTAATCTTCTTGACCTGCTGGATTAATAAAATATTCAAAAAGCTATTATTGTACACCTGCGCATTTCTCAGTGAAATCAATAATAAAACTTGCATTAATAGAACCACGTATAAATATTTGAATAATTATAAAGCTAAGTAAGCGATTATTTGTTTTATTTAATAGACGACTGTTTGTAGTGTGTACAACCATAACAACTGCATTTTTTATTAAACATATTTCTTACTACCACCTATATTTATTTATTAATAGCTTTTCTCCGCGGCTTCGCTCACAGAAATTAATATTGTTTTTCCACAAAACCTTTTAACTTCCAATTCACCCCTACAAAGTTTTAATTTTATATAATGTCGCCATCTTAGATTTCAGATACAAACGTAGCAACAACATTTCATCCTTAAGGGTTGATTTTTAAAAATTGCCAAAACACGTATTTGCTTAATTTTAACAATGAGTATTTATAGAAACTTCGAGTAAGTCCGTCTACAGATAAAATGTTTTACGGTTTTCTGGGAAATTTTTCCAATTTTTNAAAATAATTCGAAGTGGTCTGTATTCTGTCGAAACTGCCAGACGCGGATCGCGATTTCGATCTTTTTGGATCTCATCAGCGCGTCGCAGGCAGTTCCGACAGAACGCGCTGTTAAGGCAGCAGGTAAAAGTTGGTCTGTGTTCTGTCGGAGCTGCCTGCGACGCTCTGATGAGATCCAAAAAGATCGAAATCGCGATCCGCGTCTGGCAGTTTCGACAGAATACAGACCACTTCGAATTATTTTATTCGACCTTCAGTCATCTTTTCATATAAAAATAATGTAATATACATAAGTTTAATAAATGCAGTTAAAGCCTTTGTTCAAAAGTTTTTAAGAATTCGGACAATTTAGGACAGTTTTTAGTTTCGTCGGGTAAGGTACCCAGTGAATTTTCAAGTACTACGAAAACTTAAATGTACGCCACTGTACGTATGCGAAAGCCTGGACAGATCCTTGGGTTTCGAGAGTTGACCTGTCTCCTTTCTAAGAATTTTACGTGAACAAATTTTGAACAGGCTCTAGTACTACATTTTTAATAATATTGTCAGAAAAGTAAAATTTTGCGGTGGTAATTTTACG